CAATGCTGAAAGAGCAAGCCATCGACGTTTTGAAGAGAGCATGCACAACAAAGGTGTCTCACATTTTGACATGTCATCTGGTGCTAATTGCTAATTTCAGCTAAACTTTTAGCTGCAACTGGCTGTAAAAGTTTTTTTATTCTTCAGTTCTAAAACCTGCCGCCCCACCCTCTTCCAAAACCCTTTTGCCTCCAACAACAGCAAACAAAACCCTTGAAACTCAATTTTGGTTGTGTGGGCATTTTCTCCATGTGGTGCCTTGTGGTCTCCAATGGGCATTTTCCAATGCATAAATCTGGTACAACACCATGATGAATCGGGATTTATTTCTCATAGAGCATTCCTCACACCAATCTCATAGTCACAGCAGTATCCATTGGGAAATCTCTCCATAAACAACAACACGCAAGTAAGAGAGATTCCTTATGTGCAGCTGAGATATAATAGAGTAATGCACTGATAAACTGAGCTGGCCCAAGCTTCATGGCTGTGAGTTCCGCAGACATAATAGCCTTGTAAACATGATAAAACTTTACAAGGGCTTACCATGGCCATTCCGCAATTAGAGTAAGAATTTGTACTTTACATCACCAATATTTCCAATATGCGGTTAAATGAGCATGGCCAAGAATGTATTGTAGTCAGCAAATCTGGATTCATTCGAGAAGCGTAGAAAGTCTAATGAATACTTTGTCTGAACTCTCTATAACTTCTACCTTAAACTATCACTTCAATTAATCGTTTTACATTCTTTTAGCCCATTTTCTAAGCTAAGTTTGGGAGTGCTTAAAAATAAGTGTTTATTTGAATAACAACTTATTTTGAGCCGGGATCATACCAATAAGAACTTATTTGAAAAGCCCAAAATTTGGATTTATTTTTAAATGCTTATTTTCCTCTTACCTTGGCCCACCATGTCATTTTAAAAATACTTATACTACCCCTGTTTAAAATATTTGCTTTTTCACCAAACGGTCATAAATACTTGTTCTAATAAGCACTTATTTTTAAAATAAATACTCCCAAACTTGGTCTAAGCCTCTTGAAACTCGTAGGAATTTGTTCTTGATGTTATTTTTTCGGAATTTTTGGACTGCAATCCCCCTCAAAAATCTGAATTGCAGCCCACTCCTAGTCTACTAGTAACCCTGCCTGGGGCCTTGTAAACCGCATCCTAGAAATCCTAACTCCACCCTAGAGCTGGACTGAACGGTTAAAACCCCCTTTTTATAAGACCCACCAATCCTACGAAGTAGGAAGTAGGAACCAAGCAGTCTTACCACCTTGGCATGCTCATTTTATCTCATTCAGCTGTGTTTGGTTGCAAAGCAAACAAATTTGTACTGATACAAAACTATGGCAGTGCAAATGATTTGAGTGTAAATTCTGACCTATTTTTCTTTTAAATTTTAGCTTATTTTGTTTGATTGCAGTACAAATAAAGTAAATTAAGATATGAAGCAGAATAAAGTAACACCCAAAACAAAGTTAAACCAGAATTTGCATTCCCGTGCATTTATAATGCATGAAAATAAAATTGCACTGCAACCAAACGCATAGAACAATTCACCAATTCCACTAATCACTGAACCCATGCATCTCTTCTTCAACTAGGAAAGGCCTACAAAGCGAATAAATTTTTCATCAGATGAAAATGAACCAAAATATGGGTCGTAAATACACCATTGTTAGATGAATGAAAATTGTAGGATTTACGTAGTATGAGCAATTTAATATATACTTGCAAGTTGCAACTGGAAAATACATTCATTGGGATAGAAAAACAAGCATCGAGGTAAATGAAAACATTATCCACCTGTAAAACAGAGATAGGTACAACCACAAATTGGAGTGAAAAGAAAATGACGAGGAAAATAGGAAAGCATATCATTGAGCATTTCTCTGTTCCCCTCCCTCTCTTGTTTGTGAATCTGCTTCTTAGTACTCATTCAGGTAAGTATACAATGTATCATCTTTCTTTGATTTGCGCCTGCTGAGCAATGCTTTAAGTAGACGTTTACTTTTGCTGGGATACTGTTCTGCGTCTTTTGGATTTTCCTTTTCAGAATGGAGACGCAATGAAGCAGATTTCTGAGGCTCTGAAGGGTACTATAACAAAAGAAAGAAAAAACTCCAAGATCAGGCTTTAATAACCAAAAGAACTGAAAACATTGAACTTCAATTTTTTTTTCCTACTCTATTTACCCGCCGTCTTGCATTAGAAGGGTTCGGAGTGGTCGGCCTATGTGAGACTGGTGTACCAGGCCTACTTGAGACAGATTCAGAACGTAAAAGTGGAAATGAAGAACGATATGGGGAGACTGTCCTTTTTTCTGATTTACCAGTGCACAATCATGAGTACAACATTCCAAGAAGAAATGCTCTAATAAAATCATAAATAACATGTATCAAGTATAACACCATACTGAAAGTAGTTCATTTTAAGGGGAGCTAGAAGAGAAACAAAGAAAAAGGGTTGTAAGAAACAATTCCCTGAGGATAAAACTACCTGTAAAGGAAAACATTCCAGGTCGCAAGGAAGGCCGTGGAGAAGGTGACGGAGAACGCCCTCTTCTATATGGAAAAATCAATAGATTAAATCATGATATTGGTGAAGAAATGAAAACATACAAGTGAATAAATTTTGATTTCATGATCTTTCAGAAATATAATATTAATCCTTACATACCTAATACAAGATTTTGAGGTTTCTCGAATGGATGTTCGTACAGCTTTTGCAAAGCACAAATAAAACAGAGTACAGATTATCTTGGATGAACATATAAGCAGTGGCAACATCAGAAATAAAATAGAAAAGATGATAAAATTACCATTCTTAAATTTATGCCAACCATCTTCATTTTCTAGATTGTACCCTTGATATTTTGTTACAGGGTGGCCTAAGCCACGCATGGTCTCCCCAACTACACAAAATTAAATGAAAAAAGTAATCAATTTTCATCAGTAATTCTTTGCAAAACAAACTTTTAAGTTCAATAAAATAGAAAAAGAAGTAAGTACAGAATATTTGCCTGGCAGGATGTACCGCTTATGGTACTTTGGAGTTGTTATCACCAATGATTGTTGTGCCAGCCCCTGATGGTCAATATATGCTTGGCACGACCTTAGTCGCTAAAATACAAGTTAAAAAGAATCTTTTTCAACACAATTGTTGTAGATTTGTCTTCCGTGGAAAATGAAGCAAGGCAGACCAGGTAACTTATCATTTGTAAGCATAACAGGCTTTTTAGTGTGCAATCTTACATTAACAATATAGATGTTTGTGTTGGGCTGATTATCCACTAGTCCAACTAAACCATATACCATAGATTCACCACCATTATTGGAGGCCTACTCCACCAAGTTAATGAACAGTGAATGGCATAGAATGACAGGACAGACTGTCAATCCTCCATTCCTGATCCATGCACTCGGATAATCTTTCACATTCAACCAAATATGGAAGATAGTTTAGGGTTTGTAGATACTCTCATGGCTGAAAATCATTTCCTCTTATTTTTGGTGAACAATGAGAAATAACAATGCCTTTATTTGGGGGGTTGGGTTATATTTCCTCATCAAAGGCTATACCGCTAACCAAGACTAACCACCAATGATAGTATCTTTTGAATTATGCTCAGGCTACAAGATTGTATTTTTTAATCAACAACTGGTTGTTACCAATGCTGATCCTGGCTATACAGAGACTTGGGAGGGGTAGACTGGATATAGACATAACCTACTTGTTTTTAGCGAAGTGGCCTCTCTCAGACTCAAACCTATTATGAACAAGCTAATTCAAATAAATCATCTTTTCAAGAAAGTTAATCCCATTTTAGATCTATGGCACAGCCTAAGAAGAAGAAGAAGATTCCATAGCAGATCCAACTTCATGCAGAACTCCAAGACTTGCATGTGAATACTGAAGGTCCAAAATCAAGAGTAGTTTTGTTTCTCTTTTCCTGTGAAAATCAGATTGAGAGATTAAAAAGGATGCTGTTTTAAAGAGTACCTGTTCTATACAAGATACCCGAAGTTCTGTTCCCGAAACTTCCTCAACCTTCTCATCCAAGAGACCATTAACTTTATATGTCATAGAACCCAAATGGTCTACAGTATTGACGAGAGCTTTAATAGCATAATCTTTCAAGGTTTCCACCACTCTAAATATTTAAAATATCAAAACTTGAATCAGAAAAATAAAAAACGGAACAAGGAAATAAAGAATATAGAAAATAAAATCCTCTCCTAACATATTAAACCACTTACTAGGAGGAACTAGAGAAAACTTACATCTGTTTTTGGTCATCATTTGTATAAGATAACTCGAAATACTCTGCTGCAGAGTACAACTGTGCTCTGAGATTCTTCAAATCCTGGAAAATCCAAATGCAATAAATAGATGGAAATTCCAGAACCATAATGGATTGCCTTCTTTCAATAATCATCAATGCTTCTGGATACTACAATTATAAGCACAACAAATTTTACACCCATGCTTTCCTATCCCACATCTGGCGGTGGGGATCTATGTGCTGAAACAAAAGTTAGAAGAGCAAATCAGATTTGGCTTAGGAGGGTGTATCTAATATCAAAGAGGCGGCACTCATCATAAAGCGCTCAGTGATTGGAAAGGCAATTTGCAGAGGTCCTCGAGGCTACCAATATCATGCCTGCTAAAGGAGAAGAAATTGACTTCAGAGTCGTGCACTACCAAGATGAAATAGATTTCATGAGAGATCATTGGTTTAGCTGATGACTTGGCGAAATTGGGGGTTGTAAGAAATGGGATATATAGCAACCCTCACAATCATAGTGAAGGTAACGCTGATGTAGCTAGAGATGGACGCAAATTAATCTTTTGATCAATGTCCAATATCATTTTTATTTTAGCCATACACAACAAAATTCTTCTTAATTGCTATCATTTTGAGAGAGGTAGAGAACACTAAAAAAATTGGCCATTTATGTCATACTTTAATCTTCAAATTTTGTTTCCATACTATAACCTCCTATTTTGAATTTTGAGTTTCATCAATCTGATGCACATTCGACGGATCAAGGTAAAATTCCCCTGGTTTCTGACAAATAACAGATACCCAATTCGGTTTTACCAAAAATAAATAAATAAATAAACTAAGAAAGAGAATACAAAAAAGTACCTTGAGACTGTCTGAGAAAAGCAAGCTCTGCTGCATGGACAGTTCATCATAAGTGGAGGCCTCTTGAGGTTGAGGGACAGAGAGTGGAGAAAAGGAAGGCATGGTTTCCATGGTGGAGAACGGGAACTTGGTCTCCTACTTCTGCACTACAGCAAGAATCAAAATCTACTTCACATTCGAAACAACTCTGTTCTTGAAGCTCAGAAACAATGGCAATAAGTGCAAAAACCCATAATTATATTGAAAATTCGAGTTCCCCTCTGCAAACAGAACAGAAAGTACGTGAAACCCAATTCTCACTGAAAACATCGATCCGTTAATCCAAAATGACAAAGGAAAAATAAGACGAATTACATCATTCTGGCTGCACTTACAAGTTACAACCATATTGCAGGGAGCTCCTCTTTTCTGGGAGGCAAATAGACTCAACACCGCTAAAAATGAAAGGAAGCCCAACAAGAGGAGGAGAAGAAGATGAACGCAAAGTGATCTCTTTTTCTGGAACCATTCCAATAAAGCCGATTTACTTTTATTGATTCTCCCAATACATTCTACAAAGCTCCAAAAAGAAAAGGGGGTGAGAAGAGGCAGCAAAACAAAGAGGATACACACGTAAGAGGCAGAGAGAATATGAGGGACTAACCTGCTCTCCCTTCTTCAGCCACAATGCAAACGTTCACTTGGGAATCAAAAACCACGCCTCAAAGGTGAAAGACCCAAAGGATTTTTCAGAAGAAAAGAAGGAAACAAAAAAAGGAAAGAAAGAAAGCGTTCTCCTTCTGTCTGCCTGTCTGACTTTGTCTCCTCTGGTTTGGAATTGGGAGCTGGGAGGATGATAAGTCAGGTGTTTTATCTGGGTTGAGAGTTGAAGACAGGTAAAGAAGAGACACAGAAACAGTATGAAGGTTATGGGCACGTCGGTGGACTGGAATGAATCCGAAGCCGCACCAGTCTCAGAGGAATAACATTTCAAAGAAATAAAAAAAGCGAAACAGTAGTGAGCCCGGATCTCCTGAGAGCAAAAAACCATACGAATACCTTAGAACAGGGCATCTATCCTTAAATCGGGAATATCTCCCCGTGATTTTAATATATTTCCGATGTGCGGCTGGATTTCGTGGTCTCAAGATATTCGTACGGTTTTTGGCTTTAAGAAATCTCGTCTGAGCAGTAGCAATAGCCGAATCCAACCACCGTAATCAACATCCGGTGGGTCCCATGACCCAGTAAGGCACAAAATCTACCAAACGTTTTAGATTTCTCGTTGTCCAAGTTTGAAGTTTGAAGCTTTTAATATATATTATATATATATATATATATTTTTTTTTTGAAGGCGAACCTTTTAATATTTAAATATACTAAAAGAAGAACCATATGTAAATATTGACAATTTTTTTAAATTATCTCTACTATTTAGCTTTAACTATTGTGTTAGAGAATGGAGAATGGAGAAACAACTCTTTTAACAACCGCGACATCTTATAACATCGCCTAATCATCGTTGGAAAAGAAATGGAAGGATGATCTAGCCAACCTCTTGCGGCAGAACAGCAATCACATCGTTAATGTCAGCTCCAAGTCCTGCGATGATCCTTGCTGTGATCGCTCTCATAACTTCGTTCTTTCTCCTCTTTTGGGCGACACCGTCGAATTTGTTGTTGTTGAAACCGATTTGTTCTGTTTGGTTCAATTCCTTCACGTTCACCCGCAATGGCCATGAAGTTTGTGTTGTTCACTTTCTTCCTTCATTGCCGTCTTCTTTCACCTCCAATATCTCCATCTCTTGGGCCATAGTACCTATTTTTCTATTTCTTTTCTCTCTTCCTTTTATGTCTTTTTTGAAATGCTAAAACTATAGTTCCTTACCTTCTTCTCATAATTCTAATTCCTGTCAATAGCAATTATGCTAGGCTACTTTCCAGATTCGAGAATCAATAAAAAGTGATTCTCTATTTCCAGAGTGAAATTTGGAAGATTATATATCAATTTTGCTAGTGATTCTTGATTTTTCCCGTCGTGTTATTTCGAATTGCATATGGGTTGGATTTCATTTAGACAAAAAAAAAATTGAAGAAATTAAATTAAAGTTTGAGGTTTCTGATGTTACCTTGCTCTATTATCTTATGGGTTTCTAGGGCAACTTTTTGCCCTTAATATCAATAAAAGATAATATTATTATAAAATAACAAAATTAGGATAACTTTTTATAAAAAATATCAAGGAAGGGCAATGGTACTGTTCATCGTCTTCCTCTTCCTCTGCCTCTATATTTATCTGAATACACTGGATTGAGACAAAGTGAATCGTGCCAGACTGAGACAAAGCCACTAATGGTGGTATTGCCACTTCATGGCTTAGCATAGTTCGGTAAACCAAGTTATCCTCGCAGATTTGCAAAATAACAGCCACCGTGACTCCTACTTGCAAAAGAACAACTGAATACACTAGACTAAGACAAAACAAGTCCTGGTTGTTCTTGGCGAGAAGTCTAAGCTTCATGGCTGCCTGACTCTGCAGTCCCACGAAAACCTATGTTTAATATGGACCTAAAATTATATGAGATGAGGGGATTGAGACCCACCATGGATGTTTCACTGTCAATTCTCGGAGCTCCTTCATGGCCTCTGGTTCTCTAGGGTACACATTGGTTTCAAGCATGTACTGCAGAACAAAGGTAGATTTATCAAGAAAAAGAACAACTCGAATTAAAAGCAGAATGAGTATGGAGAGAGAAGAAAGAATAAATTTAGATAAGAAGAGAAGCTGCTTACTTGGTAGAGAGCATCACTTTAGAGGAGACTCTTGTGGCGGACCTCCTGATGTCTTCTGGCCTGGTTGTTTTGTTGCTCTTCCTGCTTGGTTGCCATTGATAGTGTCTCTTTGGGGCTCTTCCTCTGTTTCTTTCTCTCATATTTCTTTAGCTTGCGTAACCCTCTCTCAACTGGTCACAAGGGGAGAGGAAGGGAGTAGTATTTATTAAGCAGTGTTGTCGTTGGAGCTGGTGGAGGATGGTTCTGCTGACCGATCGACCGCTCGTCCGCCCGCCCGCCAGCCAAATGGGAGATTGTAGTTTGGGAATTGGTGAGCACCTTCCAGCCTAGTGCTCGGTGCGGCCCACAAAACCCCACTGACCAAATCCTTTTAACTACATTAATGTGGGCTGACCCACCCACTCTTTTACTGGTCGTAGGTGGAGGAAGACGATGAACAGTATTATTGCCTTTCCTTGATATTTTTATAAAAAGTTACCCTATTTTTGTTATTTTATAGAAATATTATCTTTTATTGATATTCAGAGCAAAAAGTTGCCCTTATCTGCTAAAAACCCTTATCTTATCGGCTGGAAAACCATATCCCGATTTATTCACGCCATCCGCATAGGATGTCTTGAAAATATGAGTCGCTTTGCAGCTTTTCTTTCCAGTTTCTATGGTGAATACTTCATTTTAATACATTGCTCTTTGTAAATATTTAGGTTTTCCCCTTGAATCAGAACTTATAGAATCCTTAAAGACCTCCCTTTATGAAATCTTTCAACCTAGTTTCCACTTTCCCATAGGCTGCATTTGGAAACGATGCAAATAAGTGTGAATGAAAATATGTAGAGTGTAAAACCGTCCATATAAACTGCAAAGTTGGGTTAGTTTTACACTAACAAATTTATCTTCTCACCAAACAGACTTTTAGCTGTAATGGATGCAAAAACGAATTCCAATAAAGCATATGCCTTTTTTTTATCAAAAGTCCACTTGGATGCAATTACTTTTTTTTATTGATGTTATTATCAATGTAAGCATGCATTGGAAAATGTATTTTCTGTCATTTGTCAATGCATAAATATAATATTGCAAAATTCAGGCAAAATTGAGCTAGAGTGCAAATTTACCGTGAACAGAGATTTACACTCTATTTGCATTGTTTCCAAACGTAGTCATAGGTACGAACACTTACAGTAGAGTTCACCTAACAAAATCTCACATTTCTTAACCAAAATCAGATTTTCCTCGAACCCGATGTGGCTCTCCAAGAAGAAGAGAGCCTTGTCCCTCTAACCTTATGTAAGTTTTAAGCTTCTCTATGTCTCTCTCTCTCTCTCCGTTTCTGTATGTGGAATCTCTTCCATCCGAAAAATGGGTCGGTCATCATTTGGGTCTTATTTTTAAAATTTGAAAAATAATGAAGGATAAATTTGATATTTTATTTTTTTATTAATATTTAACTATGATGACAATTATTAAAACACTTGGAATAATTTAAGACAATAATTAACAGTAAGTTACAGTTTATCAATTAACTAAATAGTAAGGATACTTTAAAAAATTTGTCCTAAAAAATGTGTTGATTGATGGTTTACCACTAAACGACAAACAAATGCATTTTTTTTGTCCCTCTTTCTTCAACCAAGTTTCCTGTTTCACTCCTTTTGTTTATTCTTTTGTTGCTAGAGGATCTTTGTTCTTCGTTTGCATCTAAAAATGTGATATGGGATTAATTGGGAATGGAGATCATGGTTAACCAGATGTATAGGTATGCGTGTATGTGTTCGCTGGCTCAGGGAGTTAACTCAGTTCAGAGACCTATCGTGCTGATCGAGTCCATCCATAGCGATAGAGCCTAGAGGGAGGTATAGTTTATATTGTCGAGCACCGCTGATTGGTCAGATTGCGATTTTTGCCACTGGTGGTTCAGCTGGTAAGGTAGAAAGAGAGAGAGAGAGAGAGAGGGAGAACTCTTTCCAAGTAAAGGACAGAACAAAGGCTGTTAGTTGTAACCATCAAAGTTAAAAGTTCAAACAACAACCGTCTGATCAACTTGAGCTTAGAGAATTTGGTGTTGGATGGGCCCAACTGATAATATAGTTGGTGGATTATTAATATAGCATTATCAGGACGGTGTTGATGTGAATGAAGACAAACGCTGCTAGTTTTGCAGTGATGATGATCTTCTGACTCCTTCCGGTAATCGTCTTGGTCTTGCTGTGCTGTGATGTCAAGTTGATAATGGTTAAATAATTAAAAGAAATCCGGGTCGCGCCATTCAATTTTCATTAACGGATTATTTAATTTGTTAATTAATCAATCAAACGGCGTGACTGGTGCAGAGTGCTGACGGGACTCTGGAACCGCAAGTCTCGGAACGTTACACGCAAGAACAGAACAAACCCATAGGCCATAAGGACCATAACAGCATTCTTCATTCTCCATCGTTTAGCTCGGCCGGCCTTCTAATTTCAAAATGGGCCCATTAATGATCTCATCTAATCGGTGCCTTTGGCTTTTGGTTTAGACTTTAGACTTCTAAGTTTTAGGGAGAGGGGAAGATGGGACCCGCGATAACTACTGCTACTACTGGAGAAGACTCGTAAAAACTGTGAGATTTTTAAGAGAAGACAAAAAGTTTAGAAAGCCTATCTCTACCTGAGAAGGGGGAAAAATGCAAGCTTGCGGAGCGGAGAAGGGGGAAAAACTTGGGACAGGTGGCAAATTAGGGGCCAAGACAGGAAACCCCATCTTCTGCCTAGTAATTGCGCTACATCATCTATCTCACCTGTTGAGATTTCTCATTTCTGACTTCTGAGAGATGGGCTCAAGGCGGAGGCCTCCATCATCTACCGAGTACTGACAGCCTATTGTTTCGACTTCAGAATCATTAAATGCAATATTAATAAAGCAATACATGAACGTTCTGCGTTGTTTGAAGTTGGAACTTAAATTGAGAGTGCAAATAATCTATGATACCGAAAAGGCATAGTACCCGATGAGTTTTGACTTTTGGCCAATCAAAGCAAATTTTGAGCAAATATGTTGGCGAATGGAGGTGGATGATACACAGTCAAACGATAGCAGCAGATCCTGAGCAAATAGATTCAGGACGCTCTATGGTCTTGGTGAATGGTGAGGTCGCCATTTACCAGTCTATCTTTAGAGAGTGCAGACAGAGAGAAAGGCCTCGTTCCAATCCGATCAAAGTAGGAAGTTTCCTCTCATCACCCCATTCTCCGTCGGTCTCTGTCACTGTCACTAGAGGAATCTTGTGGACTTTGTGGTTCCTAAATTCAAACCCTCCATCAAGGTTCAAACACAAAAAGGACGCACTCGATCGATTGGCCACTTTATCAATCCCCCCATTTCATATCAATCATATACCCACCTTTGTATTGAGTTTTACGCAATCATGCTTTTTAATTTTT